AAGTACACAAATATAATGAATACGGTATTTTTAATTTTATTCGATAAAAACTATGTATTCTCATAACGAAATTAATTTTTCTTAGTATCGTTATGTCTCTCTCAACATAACAGTATCAGATATTTTTAGTGTATAATATATAATAACACACGCATTGCAGAAATTAAGAACAAAAAAAAAAGAAAACAGATAACAGACTGAGAAATACTTGAGCAACCACGTAACATTTTATGTAAATCCCTCTCCTTTAATATTGTTTTCCTCATTTCACATATTTGCAAACATATTGAGTAATGTAGCTTTTGCGATTGACGTCGGTCATAATCTGTTCTATCGGGCGAAAAGCAGTACGGAAACAGCAATCGAACGTGATGTACGCGGACACGAACTGATATTGCGAGTGAAAGAGAAGTTAATGTTGAGAAATTTGACGATTCATTCGGAAAGTTCTTTGATAATGTACATACATATATGTTGTAAATGTAAACAGTGTGATTGTAAAGAACCATAGCCAGCAGAGACTATAGTTCAATCTGCGTAATATTGCAGTCGCACATTAACTGTCTTTGCAAGGCATACACAAAATGCTTCGTTCAGCAAGGAACAAGGTATTTAATTTGAAATTAATACGTGTTCAACGATACAAAGATGATTTTATTTATGTTTTTGTAAAAAAAAAATAAAAATCATATATATTCCAATATTTCTTTTCACTTCAGTTATTTACATGGGGTCTCAGAAATAACCGAACGGTCGCTACATTCAAAGAAAACGAAATAAAAAACATCGATATTCCCAGTAATGCCGACGTTGTAATAATAGGTAATTAAGTTTATATCTGCAGAAACAAAACAAAACAATCATATTAATTTACTAATTAGCAGTTTAGATAACAATTGAATATTTTATAATATATATTAATTAAAATTAAATGTGATTTAACAATATTTCTTTTCGAAGAGAATTAAGTAGAAATAAAAAATCTTAATGTTTATAAATATACATTAATATTAACAAATTTAAGAAAAATTTCCATGATAGGTGCTGGCAGCGCTGGTTGCAATGCACTTTATCAATTAGGAAAACGTGGAATTAATGCAGTACTTTTGGAAAAATCTAAAGTTATATCTGGTACAACATGGCATACAGCAGGTCTCCTATGGCATCTACGCGGAATATGCGACATAGAGACCGAATTGATAAAAGCTTCGCGAGTGCTTTACGCATCTTTACAAGAAGAAACAGGTATAAATCCAGGATGGATAAACAACGGTGGACTCTATATCGCTTATTCTCCCGTAAGTACGAATATCTGCATGCGATTAACATTTATCCATTTCTCGGAGAATATCCATTGTGTTTTTCGTAGGAACGAGTAGCCGATTACGAAAGATTAATTACTAGCTGTAAAAATTTTGGTATCGACGGGTATATGATTGATCCAATCGAAGCAAAAGAAAAATTTCCTCTTATAGATAAAAATGCGTTTCAAGCTGCGATGTATTGTCCAGCGGATGGTACAATAGATCCTGCCATGTTAGTAAATGCATTGACAAGATCCGCGGAAAGAAACGGATGTAAGGTATTTCTATCCATTTTCTTCATCACCATCTTGTTTCTACAACACACATATTTACATAATAAAATTATTTCTGTATTTCATAGCAAATTCCATTAGCAATTGGTAGTTATTTGTACGATAGTAATGTAGGAAAACTAAAATAAAATTATGGTTAAAATATATATAATTTTAAAAGGTCATCGAAGATTGTCCAGTCACTAAAATTCTCGTAGAAGATATTGATGGACATAAAATCGTTCGCGGAGTAGAAACGCCTTATGGCATAATAAAAACCAACGTTATACTAAATGCAGCAGGAGCATGGTCTGGGACAATAGCGCGAATGGTAGGGCTGGACATCCCATTGGTACCGATGAAACATGCATACATTGTTACTGAGCCGATGAACGTACGAGGGTTGCCAAATATTCGAGATCCCGATTTTAATATCTACTTTCGGGTGCAGGGTGGAAATATAAATATCGGAGGATACGAGCCGAATCCTATCATATTGAAATTTGTAAGTTGAATGTACCTTAAGATTAACCTAATTACTGTTATAACAGAAACACATGTGCAAGATAAATTCAGTTATACGTACTCTTGATTAACTCAAACGTGTATGTATTGTCAAGCCGCCAGAAGACTTTTCCTTCAGTTTGTACGAGCTCAATTGGGACGTATTCAATACTCATGTAGAGGCGATGAACCGATTGATACCCACTTTGGCAACTACTGGAATAAGAACAACTGTATGCGGCCCAGAAAGTTTCACTCCCGACCACAGGCCTATCATGGGTACAAAATTTCATTAATTTTACGATCGATGCTTATATGTGACATAGATACATTAAGTCTAAAAACACGACAATGTCCGAAAGGTGAAGACCCACGCTGCACAGGTTTTTATTACTCTTGCGGATATAATAGCGCCGGGATGATGTTTGGAGGTGGTTGTGCAGAACAAATAGCATTATGGATAATTAATGGACGACCGGACAAACACATGTTCAATCAAGACATCAGGCGGTAAGATTTATTCAAATTATTTTCGTTGAATCTTAAACTGTAGAATATCATATGCAACAACATAATTATATTTATCAAATTAACTTTAAATGTATGAATCATTATTTCATAACATGTTTTGTATTTCTTATATGTCAGTATATAAAATGTAAAATACAAGCAGGATCACTTTATCAATATCTACAGTTAATGCTTTTGTATGTTCTTTTTCTCTCAATCCAGATATATACCAGAACAAAGAAAAAACTCAGTTTGGGTGAACGAACGGAGTCACGAGGCTTATGCAAAGAATTATAATATTGTTTTCTCACATGACGAACATTTAAGCGGTAGAAATTTGAAGACAGATCCTTTCCACAAAGTAAGTTATACTTTATGTTAATTTATTTTTCAATTAGATTGCACATTCTTTTTATTCAATGTGTTATTGCTATTTTTTAGTTTCTGGTCGAGGAAGGAGCAGTCATGGAAGAGCGACAAGGATGGGAACGTCCAGGATGGTTCTTATTAGATAACAAAAAGGCTCCAGTGTTACCTTATGATTTTGGTGGCTATTATGATACACCAAAGAATACGAATGACACATATGCCGATATATTAAAAACAGAATGTACATTTGACTTTCCACCGCACGATAATATTGTAAGTATCCTATTTTTTAAAGATTGGACTAAAATTATCATACAATGTTTTTGCATGATTAAAAATATTAATTCGATAATTTTTTTTACGTACTTATAACAGATACGGGAAGAGGCACTTGCCTGTAGAAATAACGTTGCATTATTTAATATATCATATTTTGGAAAACATTACATATGCGGCCCCGACACGAAAAAAGCGGTGGATTATATATTTACGTCTCAAGTCGATCGAGAAATTAATAGAACTGTATACACTTGCATGTTGAATAAAAGAGGAGGTGTAGAAGGCGACTGTACGGTCACTGGTTTAGAATCTGGCTCGGGTGGCGTAGTCGATCCCATATTTAAGGGAAAAGCATTTTATATAGGTATCTGTTTATGCATTTTATCACGCATTATACATGCATTTACAATGCATTTTATTCCTATTTTAGATTATATTGATTCTTTTCTTTCCGATTTTAGTAAGTGGAGGCATGTCGTCATATCATACATGGGCACATATCAGTAGTATAATAAGAGAACAAGATTTTAACGTATCCGTGCATAATGTCACGGAGCAAATAGGAATTTTATCAGTTCAAGGTCCTAACAGGTATAAAAAATTAAAAGCAAACATGAACACATAAGTATATAAAATTGTTAAGATATGTTTCATAGATCCGCGCGTCCGTGTAATATATTTTACTATTATTACAGCCGCCAAGTTCTTCAAATGTTAGTCGATGATGATATTTCGAATAAATCGTTTCCATTCTCGACTTCAAAACTAGTGCGAATAGATGATGAACTGGTACACATTTTTAGACTTAGTTTTGTAGGTGAACTAGGTTTCGAATTACATATTCCAAGAAGTTCGTGCGAAAAGGTTTATAAAGCGTTAATAGAATGTGGTAAAAAATATGATATGAAATTAGCCGGCTACAGAGCGCTCTACAGTTTAAGTTGCGAAAAAGGTACACAGTAATATACATAATGCTTTTATCTCTTGCTATCTGTGCTAATTGATAATTCATCTGTTAGGATATCATCTTTGGGGTACAGACTTGAGAACAGATGATAATCCAATAGAAGCGGCTTTAGAAATCGTCTGCCGCAAAAACGGCAATTACTTAGGAAAAACACTTGTTGATCAGTATCGTAAAAATGGAATTAAAAGAAGACTGGTACATTTACACATAAATGAGTAAGTACATTGTTTTGCAATACAATCTGATCTTGTTGGTATCAATATTTAAAACACGCGACATTTATGCACTTATTTAATTATAGCGATATACCATTATGTGGTATGGAGAGCGTTTATAGGAATGATAAATTAGTTGGTTATTTAAGAAGGGCTGAACATGGATATACATTTAAGAGTAGTATTGGACAGGCGTAAGTAAACATAATAAATAAATATAAATACTATATATATATATATATATTATAAAATACATATATGTATTTACATTTTTTGTTATTCAGATACATCGCAGCTCCAAATGGGCAAAATGTTACAAAGGAATTTTTAGAAACAGGTACTTACCACATTGAAGTGAGGAGGAAAAAGTATCCCGCAAAGATGTATCTTCGAAGCCCATTCGATCCACAAAACAAGAGATTATTAGGTGTATACACAATATAAAAAATACTTATTGATATTATTTCTTCTAAACCATCTGTGAAAAATAATTGTATGTACGTTTTAATAATCATAAACATTTTGTATTTTTTTCATATATAAAAGAAATGATATAAATTACTTGTGTTATTATGATGGATGATAAAAAACATTTCATCATTCAGGTCTATCCCGCTAATGGGTTAGCATGTATAGTTACATTGTTTATCCTGATTTCTGCGAGTGGTTTATAATTTTTAGGGTTCACCGGTAGTTTTTCCAATTGTTCCAAGGTTTCTAAACCATCAATGACTCTGCAAAAAGTGAATAAAAAAAATCAATAACAAAACAAAACAACTTACAGTATTATAAAATTCCCATAAGAGCTGTGCAGAAATTTTATCCAAATTTATCCAAGTATTATTTCATCCTTCTTTAATATTCATTGAACAATAAAGATATTTAAAATGATATGATGCAGCTGGATGAAGTGGCTTAAGCTTAAGTAAAGCGACAAACTTACTTTCCAAACAAAGTATATTTTAGGTCCAGATGTGATTGAGGTGCGTAAGTAATGAAAAACTGACTGCCATTTGTATTAGGGCCATTGTTAGCCATGGAGACAAGACCTCTCGCATTGTGTTTAAGCTCCTCTTTAAATTCATCTTCAAACTTGCGATTCCATATAGAGGTGCCTCCTTTACCCGTATTAGTAGGATCTCCAGTTTGGACAATAAAGCCTTTTATATTCCGGTGAAACAGACAATTGTCATAGTATCCACTGGCGCCGAGCGCAAGAAAATTCTAAAACAAGAACATCAATGTCCATACTACAAAGTTAAATATTTTTTCTAGAACCAATATGATATCTTTAACTCCACTTTAAGATTATTCAGCACAATATATGTATATAATTGTAAGTTGCAAAATTATATAAAAACTGAAATATGATAATATCAAACTAGTTACAATTACATCAATCTTTGAGATTAAACATCATTGTTGCTAGTTTCTTTCTTAATAGATCATGGTATCAAGTAATTATAAGGCTTTGTAATAATAAAATATTGATGTAGATAAATTTAGTGATCTGTTTTCTGTTCCTGCACTAGACTATACTAGAACTGATTAGAACTTTTCTTGCTTTCAACAAATATTAAATGTATACCTATCTCACTTTTAATTTCCAAAAGTATATACTAACTCAGCTATCAAAAACATACTATAGAATAAGTTCACTTTTTGTGAACAAGTATAACTGATCTCTAAGAATGTTTAATTCAAGTTGGATTGTAATCTATTCTTTTGTATAACATCATATTGAACATAAACTGTAAATAATCTATATGGCTAATTCTACGATGTGCTTTTTGTTTCCTGTTTCTTGTTTTTTGATCAAGAAGGCAAGAGACAAACAGCATTGTAAAATTAGCCTACCTATTATCTTTTTAAAATGTTTGTGATAAGGCTCAATATTTATTAAACAACTAATATAAAGAGATAAGAGCAATGAGCCAATAATTTTTGTTAAAATCTTTTAAATTAATCTAATATATTGCGAAGAATATCATGTAATTATGGTGTTTCGTCCCAACTTCCACTACTGGACTCATCAGTAAGACATTGTAGTGGAAGCCTATATTAGACGCCTGTTTAAGTTATTAAATCAAGATTCTATATATACAGATATACACGTATCAAAGCACTTGTGAGAATTTTTGCAAATATCTATAGACCTCTGATGGTGGGTGACGTAGTAATATTCTTCGCAATATTTATTTAAAGTAATATATGTATTATCTTTTTCTTGTATACTTTAATTATTGCAGAAATATAGATTCAAAGATTTATAGTTTGGTATGTTAATTGATAGACAATTAATTGCAATGCTAATCAAGAATTTATATTAGAATTATGTATAGATATTTTTATAAATTTATTCAACACACAAAAACAACTAAAAAGATATAGGTTATACTTTTTTGATAAGTAACTACAGAATTAGACGTTATAGAATATACAAGAAAATTGACCAATACCTCGCACGTCTTCGGACACATCTCACAAAACAGTTCTATTTTTATGTCGCCGACATCCGTATGTAACGTTACGCTCTAAAAAAAACACAGTATTTCCATATACTCGACAAACACAGGTTATAAAATTTTATAAATAATATACCATTTTTCAGAATGTACGTAGTGCGTTCAACTCGTAGAATCTAAAATAATTTCAACAATTTTAAGATTTGTTAGCAAATGAGTTTTTGTCACAGCTAAATCGTTGCACATCCACCGTGAGCGAGAATCAACGAAAATCAGTGAGAATTAATAAAAATCTACTAGAATCTCGTGGAATGTGGAATTTGCAAGAATGTATGAAAATGAAATGTCGGAAGGAGGTGCAGGAAGTGCAGCTGAAATCGTGCACGAGATGCGCGTGGTTTTATTCCGAAGTCAAATAGCATCCGTAAGGATTTTATCAAATATACAGCTATAATATTTATATAATATTTATATTACTACATTACATATTGAATTATTTTATGATACTATTATCATTATTGCATTATTATTTTTACATCGATAATAATAATAATACATCAAAGTCTGGCACATACTTCAGCGTGATTCGCAAATTTGAAAAAAAAAAAAGAATTTATAGGCGTAAACAAAGTTTTCGCGTTCGAAACAGGATCACTGAATTATCGAATAACGAGGAAAAATAAATAGCGTGGCATCCTTACATTTGATCCTGTCGGTGCAGGCGAACGAAAGGAATTCGCGCGAAGCAGCGCCGCGAACGGCGGTGAGACGTAGCGTTTCTCGTGTTGGTTGCGTGCGTTCACTCTCCGCACAACGGACAGTGGCGAGCGGAAATAGTGATTCCGTGAATCTCTCCCCGGAGCGCTCCATTTCCGTAAAGGAGTAACCTACGCATCGTCGGACGGGCCGCGAGACACAGCGGGTTCATCAGCAGTCGCGATCGCTGGGATCCGTTTACGCGAGAGGGGGCCGAGAATCGTTTCTTTTAGCCACGTCGCGGCCAAGCCGGGATCCGCCGACGAGTGGCGCGTCTGTGAGAACGCGCGTTCCCCTTGGCGAGAGCGTGACGTAATTGTATTGATCCGCGGCGGAGGAAGGGCCCGAGAGAATCGCGCATTCGCCATCTTGGACGAATTGGTAGAAAAGAGGTAATTCTGCGTCCCCGTAGGCCGCGGTGCCGTCGTCGTTGAGTGCTGGGTGTAATCCGTGGCGATCCGCGTGTTAATCTAGTTTCACCGGGAGTTAACCCTGTTGTGAATTGGCAACCCATTTGGACGGACCAAGGTAAGTCGTTATTTTTCCGCATCCGTCGCGGCCCCCACGGGCCGCCAAGTCCTTCCTACGTGGATGCTTCTCTGCATCCGACACTTTTCCCCTCTCCACGTCTCTCTCCGCGCTCCCACCTCTTGTCTTCCCCGCGCGGCCTGTCCGCTTTCTTCCGACGGGTGTACCGTTATCGCGGGCGAAAACAGCGACAGCACGTCTCGGCCTCGTCGTGGCCGTCTCTTCTCGAGACGTACGAACCCGCGTACACTTGCTTGAGCGGATCGCGTCTTGTTTGCAGTGGTCTCGCGATCTTTTTGACATCAGCACGGCTACCGAGGGGTTGGGTCGCCCGAGAGAGCACACCTGCCCCCTCGTCAGCCGCCCTCTCGTCGTGACACCGAGGTAGATAAAGCATTCGCAATAAGTCGACGAGTTATTTTCGTCGCTTTTACTTTGGTCTTTTTTATCAGCCGCGCGAGCGATTCATTCTGTCAGCGTGACAGACAAAGCTTTTTCTCCGTGCCTACTCCTACCGTTAACGCACTTCCTCGCCGAGCGGCTGATTTGCGCGCTTTAGAAACTCTTCCACGCTACTTTCGCGCATTACCGAGACGAATTACTATGGAATTAGAGCTGGCACGTTGCTGTGTTATAGGAAGTTGATAGTAGACCGTTCAGAAGTACTTGAACAAAGTGCTATACATATTACAACTATTATTGTATTGTATGATATTACAATCTATTGTAATGTATCATAATTTTCGCTTGATCATATGTTCTATCGAGTAAATACTGTAGATTTATACTTATAGATGATGTATACATATATCTATAAGTAGCTTTTATGATAGTTGAATTATCTGTTATTGAACATGGTATTAATTCCATCTATTTAAATTTTAAAGGATATATTTTATATAATTCAAGGAAACTTTTCAAATTATAATTGGTATGTTGAAATTATTGTTAGAATGAATAGAATTTATTTCTTTACTATGATTTTTTTTCAAATTACAGTTGTATTTTTAATATTAACAAAGAAGAGGAAAATATTTAGATAACTTTGTCCTTGCAGACAAAGGGTTCGTTCTTTGGGTCTGATTGGTACTAAATGGTTGCGTGCAGACAGCATGTCTACTCTGTCAGGGATTGTGTCGAAGGGGGAGAAAGGAAAATCCAAGTTTCAATCATTAGATATCAATAGCTTGTACCGGGTGAGTAGGGTGAGTTGGCCAACATTTTATTACTTTTTCTTATTAGTTCTCTGAGAGCTGCCTTTGTTCACAAATGTCTCTTATTATAAGCATAGAAAAGCTAGTTTAAATGAATATTTTTAATTTTGTCTATATATATATATATTTATGTGATATATCAATATATGATTGTTATATACATAAAAGTGTATAGGTATTTGTATAATGCTTTTTTAATACTTATATTATTGTTTGAGAAGTTTTTGTCTACAGTGTAAACTAGTAAAATGTATCCAATTGAAATTTTCGAACAGGGTGAATCTTTGGAACCACATCAGCAAAAAAATACATTACCGCGAAAACATGGAATGCAAAGTCTTGGAAAGGTGCCTTCGGCACGGCGTCCTCCAGCTAATTTGCCCAGTTTAAAAAGCGAAACTAGCAGCAGTGACCCAGCTGTCAGTCTTGTGCCAAGCGGAGGAAGTGGTTGGGCTACTACTAAGGATTCAACATCGTCGACCACTACTACTACCACTACAGTAGTAACTTCATTAGATAACACTACTGTAAGTTATAATTTAATCATTTCTCTTATAGATAAAGGAATGAGAAAAATTTATTCCCGAATTACAATTTACTTCATATTTTTTTACTTTCTAATTGAGTTATAAAAAAAAATATTTATTTATAATCTATAATTGATTTTATAAAATTGAAGCATATATAATACATATGTGAGATGAGAATCCTGAGATCTGTGAATTGATTATCATATGGAGCCCTGTATTATCTAATTATTTTATAAAATAGTTATATTAAAATTAATATTACATTATCTTCTCTGTATTTTATTCTATTCTCTTATTGCTCTCTCGTATGCTATTTATTTTATTTAATTAATTTTGATCATTACATTAAATAAGTTACAATCTTATCTCTATGAACATTTTTTAATAAGAGGAATATTATACATACACACAAATTGTGTTAAACGTTTTACATTGCATATTATATTTAATCCAAAATGTACTCTGTTATTAATTATAATTATAATTAATATTAATATTTCCTTGCAGACTGTCTCTTCAACAGCACAATGCACAGCAGGGACCACTGTTTCAACATCCCTACACTCTTTACTGCCGACACAACAAAATGTATCGCAAGCTCCTTTTTTGGATCAAGCAAACAACAAATCATCATGGAGCGCGATTATGAGCAGATCAGGAGACGGTATGTAGAAAAATATGATCCATTAGCACTACTGGCATGTATGCATAATATTGATTAACGTAAAATGTTAAGGTTTTAAGTTATTTATTTTTTCTCATTTTTCTCACATTTTCCGTTCCATTAATACACTCTTAAACTCGTTTATCTAAAAGCGGGCATGTATGCTTAAAGTAATATAAAAAAAATCCTGAAAGTTTTGAAAATTTTTTCTAATGACTAAAAATTCCTAATAGTATCTAATTAATTATAATTAAAAGACAAGAACTTTACATTTTCACATGTAGATATTCATAATCGCCTCCTCTTGTAAAAAAATATGACCATAGGTGAGGGTAATGCGTGCAACATTGATTCTATATATATATATAGATATATGGTCATTGGCTATGTATAAATTATAATAATTAATTGGTTATGTATAAAAAAAATTGTTTTCATATGGTGATTAATAGCATCAAATAGGGTTGGGAGTTAATGTAATTGGTGCATTGTACTATTTACATAATATATGAATCTATTATATATATATTAATAAACAATTGTGCGATATAATATTGCTGTAATGATATAATATTTATTTAAAACAATCTATTGGAATATAAACGCACGTAACTATATTATCATGAAATGTTAGACAGATGTCCAGAGTTGGATTGATAAAGAACTTTACAAACACTGAGATACAATAGTTGTCGTTCTTATTCAGTTAGTATTTGCGATACTTATATTCTTTTAACATCCATTTCTGGACGTTGGGCATGAGTAAAATATGAGCGGAGTGGTGTCGTTTGGGTGGTGCAATTAATTGATAGGTACGCCCATTGTGGCAGCAGTGGTTGGTTACGCGGGGCTCGTGGGGGGCGCGAAAGGGGGAAGAGGTGCCCTTGGACTGAGTTTCCTCGCCCACCAGTCCCCGCAGTTCCAACACGAGTTTCCCAGTCTCAGTGGACAGCCGTCCGCCTCCGTCTCCACTCAGAGCCAGACTCAACAGTCCTCAACAACATCCAATGCAATCTCAGTCGCAGTCCATCACTCGTTACTGCAGCAACAGCCGTATTCCCACAACCACTCAGGTGGGGTACTGCTTGCCTGTTGCTGCTAGATTCAAGATATTTTATCTCTTTACCAGTAGTGATCTCTGTGCTTCTCCCCATGATGGCTTTTTATAAAAGATTGCATTTCTATTAATTAAATTTACTCGATTATGAGTAAGATGGAAGCTGCATAGATTGATGTAAATAAATCTGTTAGCAATTAAAACTGCAGCAGAATTGGATAAGAATGCGCTAAATGCGAATTCTTGTCGCTATAAAAAAAATGCCAGTAATGGGTCTAGTAAACTGTGCTTTCAAAAGTAGTAGTTTATTTACACATTGGATGTTTTATGAAGACTTCCCATTTGCATATTTTTTAAAAGATATTAGTGATGATAAAACATGTTTTAAAGTAATAAAAATAATCTGATTTTTTTGGAAATAATATAATAATTATATAAGTTATGTGAAACTATATATATAAAGATATTTATTTTAATATTTTTTTTATCATTGATTTATTTTAAGAAAATTTTAAATAAATTTTGTTGTTACGAATTTTGCTATTATTAGATTATTT